AATTGAACTATGTATAGGTGTGATTAGTGACAGCGAGGTAGATGTTGTAATTGATCAGTGTATAGGTGTGGCTAGCTACAGATAGGTAGATGTTGTAATGGGGCAATGTATAGGTGTGATTAGTGACAGAGAGGTAGATGTTGTAATTGAACAGTGTATAGGTGTGGCTAGCTACAGAGAGGTAGATGTTTGTAATGGGGCAATGTATAGGTGTGATTAGTGACAGAGAGGTAGATGTTGTAATTGGACAATGTATAGGTGTGATTAGTGACAGAGAGGTAGATGTTGTAATTGGACAATGTATAGGTGTGATTAGTGACAGAGAGGTAGATGTTGTAATTGGACAATGTATAGGTGTGATTAGTGACAGAGAGGTGGATGTTGTAATTGGACAATGTATAGGTGTGATTAGTGACAGAGTTAGATGTTGTAATTGGACAATGTATAGGTGTGACTAGCGACAAACAAGTAGCTGTAAAACTAGGAGGTATAAAGATGTGATTATTAACAGACCTGTAGATATTTTAATTGAAAAAGATATGTGTATCTATGAACATGTGTGTCTAGTGACAGACAGATAGATGTGTGTGAATGCGTGTTATGTAAAATTTGATTTTGAAATATTTTTATGCAAAGTTTTTCTTTGGGGTGGGGTAATATTTTGGAGAAATACATATAGGGTATTTCTATTGAACAATTCACAATTTCTTTTACTGCAGTATATATAGTGTGTGTGGATATATACATAGTGTGTATATGGTATACCCGTGTTTTGTAGGTTTATGTAGTTTTTCCCTTCATACGTACTTTGTTATTTTTTTAAGTTTCAAGCTACTCAGGTTTCCAGGAAGATTTAGTATTCACTATGATGTAGTTGCTGTTGTTAAGTATTTGTGTGAGTTCTAGTATTAAAATACTTTAACTTCCAATAAGTAATGAAACTGCATCCAATACCATCTGAGAACTGGTTTCAAGCAACATCGGCTTTTATTAGCTAATTTTGTGATAGACAAATTTAGTATTATAACTATGGTGCAGGAATAGCCAGTATTCTTGCACCTTCCACCTGTGTTAAGGATTGTAAAGGTGTGTTGAATCAGAAGCATATCTAATTAATTCCACACTTAAAGGTATATTTTAAAGTGCTGCTAAATGACATTCCCTATTGCTGATGTAACTGGCTTGATTTTTGCTAATTATTTCTAAAGATCACTTATCTGTTAGTCATGATATGATATGTTTTGTTTTGTTTACTTAATGTGACTAGCAGTACATTTTTTATAACATAATTTTAAGATTCTTAATTTTTTGTTGTTGGAAACTTTTTTTTTATATTTAACAAGTACAACAGTCAAATTGTAGGTAATGACTAAGTTGCTGTCATGTTTGTATGTGTTATCATCACAGGAGCATGAAACATTTGATAGCAAATTGAATGAATGGAAATCTTTTTAAAAGTTTAGAACCAGGGATGCTTTATGATTGGGTGAAATATAGCTTGACTTGACATATGTTAAAAAGAGAAGAGAAACACTTGGATTTTTTATCTTAAAATTTTTCACTGGAGATTGTTATAGATAGCACCAGGTCCCAAAGTAAGGTTTAATGGATTTTTGCTAAATTAAATAGATGTGTTTCAGTGTTGGTGCTATTTAATGTTATAAACTATATTTGTATCAGTATCTATAGACAGATACACTGGGGGGAGGGGGGAATTTTTTGCCTCTGGAGCCATTTTAATAGTGAGTGGGTACATGTATGACATTAATTGCAGTCACAAACATTTGGTACATGTTTTGTGTTACAGACTACAATTTCTTTAACAAATCAGATCTAAGTGTCGAGAGATTTGGGTATACATCTCTCAGGTAGCAGTCTAGTATGTCCCAGAACAGGTTTGATTGGATTCAAGTCATGGTGCTTGTCTGGTCAAGGCAGTTTTTGATTTTTTTTGTCTCATGTTATTGCTAGACAAGGAATGCAGTCTAACTCAGTTCATTATCATTCTGAAGTGATGTCATTAGTTTTTTCCCATAGAATTATCTATGCATTCAGTCAGAGCAGCATTGTCTAGAGTGAGGCAGTACAACAAGGCATACATGATTATTTTAATTATTGACAGTGGGCAAAACCCTTAGCAGCTAAAATGGACCCACACATAATATTAACCCCACCATTTGGTATATCTAAATCACTTTCTTGGTTGCCATTCAAGGGTAAAGTGACTAATTTTTCTACAGTTTATTGTTATTTTACATCCTCATGAAATGTGATGCACTTAGGCTTAAATCCACCCATGAATTTGTGTTCTCGTGGGGTACACACTGCAAACCATCTGAGAAATCTAGCAAGATTGAACACCCTGGATCCTGGGGATATACTGGCCAGCAGGCCTGTGTTTTCATTCCATAACACTTTCCAAAGTGATTACTTTGGACATCCAGTTATATATTTTATGTTAGACTTTCATTTCTCCATTTAATTACCCACAGTAGATTTGGGTAACAGCAGCCTGGCTAAATGGTCCCTTAACCCTTTCCATATGGGCTATGGGTGAAAGGCCTTGTCATTGTGTTTGTTGACTTGCATTCAAAATTTTAATGAACTACTATTTCATGAATTTATGTCAATAAGTTTGGTATCAAACTTTAGATTATAATTCAAATTTTAGTATTATACATTACTCAATTT